ACTTGGCTATCCAAAGTGAATTGGATCGTCACCATTCTCTTTCTTCTTTTAAGTTACTCTTAGTTCAAGGAAGAAAATTAATCTTGATATTTTACAATTAAGAATGATTCCCCGAGTCATTTGACATGCTATAATAACAAAGCAAACCACACAGAAACAACCTTTCAAGGAATAGCTATCAGTGAGCCCAAGAAATGATAAAATCTCACCTCATTTACCTAACATTTCTGCAGATATAACCTAGCCTCTCAATACTATTTCAACAAACTTTATCAGTGCCAGTTCTTTAAGTGCCCTTTTCACTATTATTTAACATTATACAGCTAGTGTTTCTGATCAAGCTTCTGTCCCCTCATTCAATTTCATTCCCAGCTGAAGAATAGCAGTTAATTGAGAATGGAAAAACAAGTCCCAGAACAATTTTGAAAGTATAATGAAGTTTGAATTAGTACATGCAATTAAACAAAGGTGAGATGCATGAGATGTTGTGAATAGAGTTCAGTGCCTATGTGCATTTATAGTTAGGTCTCTGTAGGCCTATGCTGAAAGAAGAGAGGAAAAAGCACCCGCTTGTACAGTCAAACCATACCTCCAGATAACTAGAAATCAGCTTAAAGAAAAAAATCATGGAGGGCTGTCCTAGTCCATGCTATTCTAATGTACAAATTAAAACATTGTGTAAACACTGGGTTCAACACTCATTTGATTCATAGTTGAAAATTGCATTTTTCAGATGCCCAGATGATTTTGGACCCATTCAACAAGCACTGAATGCAGTGCATGCCAGGCCCTTGTCCAGTTGCTGGGCTATCAGAGGAATAGGAGGCAAAAGTCTCCACACTCCAGGAGTTCACCTAGTCCCCTGACGGGTACTCTGAGATAATGGTTTACTGATTTGAATGTTTATCTCTGCTGCCTTGCCAGAGAAGTTCTAGATTCACAATTCTTTCTGGGAAAGTTCTCTACACTGGTTGGGTTCTTGCTCTCTCTGATTTCTCCAACTGGAATGCCTCCTCCATGCCCTGAGTTTCAAATCTAACCATTGGAAGCCCTTTCTAACTGTTCCAGCTTTCATCCTCTAAACTTACATGACATTTAGTAGAAAACCTCTTGTATGGAGATTAACCATAGTCTTTCCTGTTTTGTTGGTTATATTTTTAGTTGTATGTGTTTTGAATCCTAGAGAAGATATAATCTCCTACAAGACAGGGGTCATAGTCACCCTGGAATTTGGTCACTGTGCTTGGCAGATTCACCTCACACATCCTGTATTATAACTCATTTAAGCTAAAAGGGACCATAGGGAATGTCCTAAGTAGGGACCTAAGATCACATACTCAGTGCAGGGTAGAAGAGTGATTTGCACCACACCTCTGAGTAATGTTGTGCCACTTAGTGGACAGACCTTCCTTGACACACAAGAAGAAACACACTTTTCATGGTTTCCCCCAGAAATTTGGTTAAAAGTTGTTGTTTTTTTTTAATCATTTACTCTATCTGGTTAGTCTGGTCAGAGTTTTTGTTTGTCAAAATAAAAGATACCAGTTGCTCTGTTGTCAGTTCTAATTAAGAGCTCATTTACCCATGGGCACCAGGAACCATGGGGGATGTGCACTTCAGTCATTCATTCTACACATATAAATGGGTAAGAAAAATTAGTAAAATAAGGTAATGTATATACTTCTACATTACAAGGTTGAGAAAAATAAGTCTAGACTTTCCTCTAATTCCCAATCATGAATTCCTTAATGACCCTGGACTTAGAGTCCTGCCACTGTCTTCATTTCTTTATTTAAGAAAAATCTCAAACAATATGCAAGATCTGATGTTCTGTGAATATGTACATGCTTAAAGGCTCCTTAGAGCCTGGGAATTGTTTCTAGGACATATTGTTAATTAAGGAGTAGTTAGCACCTTTACCTCATAGGTTAAGAGGCTTTATTCACATCTAATATTTTTATTATCTTTAACGTGTGCAGTATGCACATGTGGGCTGATGTGTACTTTCGCACTATGATTTATTTTGTTCCTGTCCTTCCTCCACACGTTGCCTGGGAGCACCCCTCCACCTAAAGTCTTTGGTGGTGCTTTTTTGGCAGCAGAATGAAGTCCAAGTTTTCCAGCACACCAGGCAAGGTCTTTTACGATCGCCTGCCATGTCCCTCAGAGTTCTGACTTAGCTTAGCAAGCAGCAAACCCTTGTGGTGCACCTCCACTCACCTCCTTCTTCTTCAGGTCTTGCAGCCTCAGTAAATGTTCCCCGTGCCCCTTCACGCACAAAGTCTGGAGGGGCAAAAGTGTTGTAGGACTTTCTTTCTCCCCTTTTATTATTTCCTTATTTCACTGAAACCCCGAGTCTCCCATCATTTCAAAGATACTCTATTCATTTTGGAGCTGTGTTCTAGACAGTATCACAACTGGAAAAATTTCTTTAAAATGTACAAAAAATAAAGACTTCTAAATGGGATGAAGAGCAAGCTTTTAAGGTAGCCCTAGGGGAGGATAAATATGTCTAGCCAGGATAATTGCCTTGTTTGGGAAGGATTGCTTACAAAGAGAGCAATAGGTGTGGTTGCTAGGGCTACGAGAGTCAACCTTGTCCTTGCCTGCAGTCAAAGGCAGGTTGAGAAGGCTGAGCTGTTCAGTCTCAGCAGCAAAAAACAAAAACAAAAACAAAAATGCACGGTGGCTGTTCTGTGTATGCAGGCTGGATGCCTATGGGGAAGGAACGGTAGGTAACAGGTACAGCCTTACACTATTGCAACAAGAGGGTTTTTTCTTTTTTAAAGTCCTCTTGTAAGGATTTCTTAAAGATAAAACTTGAGGGTGGGAAAGTTTGCCCAAGGATGGCCAAAAGGGGAGAGAGAAGAACCAGCTATATTTTCAGCACACAAGCAATGCAGCTTGAAACAATGGATTGAGTACAGATGTATCATGAAAGTTCTTAATTTGGCTAGTGTCTATATTTCTTAATATGGAAACACTATTAATACATGTCCCCTAAGCCTTGTATATTGAACCCCTGTGTTATTGGACAGTTGGAAATAATAATGTAAACAATATCTGTATACTGATCACTTGGCCAATCCTTGGGCAAACTTTTAACATCCATTCTAAGTCAACAGGCTTTGCCAAACTAGATACTGAAATTACTCTGTTGTTTTGAAATGGAATACCAAAAACATAATATTTAAAGGTATTATTTAGAAAAAGAGAAGGCTGGGATCAAGTTTTCTGTTATTATGAACTTTTGGTTATTTTCTTTGCTTTACTCCAGAGAAACACTAAGAATGAGATTGAGCTGCTTCACCCACATGATGGCTTGTTAAGTTTTTCCACTTTACCTACAAATCCAAAGGGCAATTCTATGTAGAATTTATTTCTGATGGGTCTTAAATCATGAAGAGAAGTTAGTCAGGCAGAGAGGAAAATAATGTCCAAGCGGGAAGAATGAACAATGGGAACAATGAAAGTGAGAAGAATGAAAAACGACAGTGTGCTCAAGAAGCCGTGTGCCATTCAGGGGGAGTGGAGTGCTGTGCATCCTGGGGAACAGCGTTGCTCTTCCTACCCATGCTGAAAGCAAGGAATCAGCATATCTGTCTGGGTCTATTCCTTTAATAGCAAGGTAGAGACTTCTCAAAAGGAAGGAGAGAAAGTGCTTTAAAGGACTTTATTTTTTAATGGAGTGGGGTGGGGCTCAGTCTCCACTGTGAAGACTGTAGGGTGGAAGAAGTTATCAAGTTCAGAGAAATGGTGAGTATTAGGTAGCCGAGGTGGCTAAGAAAGGACCCTGAGCCAGAAAAGTCCAATTAAGGGCTTTTATGCGAGGGCGGACTCTGAGATCAGGCAGGCTGGGTCCAAATGGACAGCAGCCCCAAGGGAAAGGGTAGAAGGGCTTTTCAGGTGTATAGCAGACCCCGGGGGGAGGGTGAGTCACCCTGCTCATCAGCTCCAGGTGTCCCGGGTATCTGACCAGGGAGGACTGACTGTAGAAAGCTCGAGGGAGAGGGGCGGGGGCAGTGAGAATTCAACCGGTTTCCAGCAGGATGCCGGCAGCTGCGCCTCAGTTGCTTCTGATATGGAGAATCTGGTGGTTAGGCATTTAGCCAGTGAAGTATACCTTCTTTGTTCCAGCATAGGTGGCGGCGTAGGCCCATGTACTGGGGGACAGCCTAACAACAGGAGAAATAGGAAGGCATTCAGCCTTTGAACTGGTATTTCAGAGTAATTTTAAATAAAATATACTAATCTAAATTTAAAAATATCTGATGGAAAAGTGAAAGGTTGATGAAGAGAAACTTTTGAGTAGACGAGCTTGGTACTCCTTAGCCAAAGCACATTTATAAATAGGGAAAACAACATTCATTTCCGAGGTGGTCAATAAACTTAACTGGGTAGGTATAAAGCACTTCCCTAATTTTGGATGTTGTACTTTGGGTGGTTAAAATCTGAATATTCCCTAGGTCCCATAATCTGAATAAGACTTGGCCCGGATTCAAGTTCTTTGCAGTGAAGCTTTAAGACTTCATCTAATCCAGGGGATATAGCTTGAAACTTGTTCCTTTGACCCCATCCTTCTATGACAGTCCCCACAGTGGATGCTGGAAGTGGGAGGAGAGGGGCTATCACCTAATCTCAAAGTCACAGACCAGGATTCCTGCCATTTTGATCCCCTAGGACTGGACCTCCTGCAATCTCTTGTTTTAGAATACAGTAGGGCGGGGCAGGAAAGCTTTACAAAAAAAGCCAGGACTGATGAGGTTTATTTTACTTGGCACCTCAGTCATTTTTTTCAGTAAAGCAGCATTTTTGAGAGTGGGGACTACGTTCTATCCCATGGATTGTCCTGGGAGTGTGGATCACTGCCGCTGAATGACAGGAGTTGAGTGCAGCCCGTTGGATGACTAGCAGGAAATGCGTGCCTGCCAGAACACATCATTTCGACTTTGGCTTTCACTGTGCTGATTCCCTGAATGGCAATAACAAGGGGTGGGGGTGGGAGTGGTGGCAGTAGTGATGGGAAATAAAAGAGATCTGAGGAACTGAATCGCAGGAGAATGCAGTTACCAGAGTTTTAGTGAAACAGCTCGCAGATGCAAGCCCGGAGGCAGAGGGAGGGAACAAGGCTGGGCTTAGCAACCTGCTATTGGGATTTAGACAAAGGCGGTTTGAGAGGCAGAGAGAATGAGGAGGGATCAGTTGCTAATATCAGCATGGGGACTGAGCCAGCAGCTGGACTCCCGGCATGAAACTGAATAAATTCACAGCGTCTCCTTCAGGGTAGAAATTGCTGGAGTATGTACCAAAATAAGAACTCAGAGAAAAAAGTAAGTTTGGGAAAGGACTTACAGATTTTCACCATCTTTGAAATCTCTCTCGTCTTTGAGGCATGTCTTCTTTGATGCGTTACCTCTTTATACTTTCTGTCTCTTGTGTAATAATTTTTATCGTGCTCTATGTGTTCAGTTTTGGGGGAGAGCAGAGCTTCCAGAGGCTGAATAATTCGGACACTCTGCTGCTGACTCAAGTTTGCACATCCTTTTTCAAAGGCAAAACCCCTTTCCTGTGGAGAAACAAACTAATGATATATGAGAAGTCTTCTTGCAAAGAATATCTGACCCAGAGCCACTATATCACTGCCCCTTTATCCAAAGAAGAGGCTGAATTTCCTTTGGCATTTATAATGGTCATCCATCATAATTTCAATACCTTTGCCAGGCTCTTCAGAGCTATTTACATGCCTCAGAATGTCTACTGTGTTCATGTGGATGAAAAGGCGACAGTTGAATTTAAAGATGCAGTGGAGCAATTACTGAGCTGCTTCCCAAATGCCTTTCTGGCTTCCAAGATGGAGCCAGTTGTGTATGGTGGGATTTCCAGGCTCCAGGCTGACCTGAACTGCATCAAAGATCTTGTGGCCTCGGAGATCCCATGGAAGTACGCCATCAACACGTGTGGGCAAGATTTCCCCCTGAAAACCAACAAGGAAATAGTTCAGTATCTGAAAGGATTTAAAGGGAAAAACATTACCCCCGGGGTGCTGCCTCCAGCTCATGCAATCGGCCGGACTAAATATGTTCACCGGGAGCACCTGGGCAAAGAGCTCTCCTACGTGGTGAGAACCGCAGCTCTGAAACCGCCTCCTCCCCGTAATCTCACCATTTACTTTGGCTCTGCCTATGTTGCTCTCTCAAGAGAATTTTCCGACTTTGTTCTCCATGACCCGCGGGCTGTTGATTTGCTCCAGTGGTCCAAAGACACTTTCAGTCCTGATGAACATTTCTGGGTGACGCTCAATAGGATTCCAGGTATGTGGGAGTCCCTATTTCACATGATAGCAATGTGCCACACTTGAAAGGGGTTTTCAAGATCCTGCTTCTTTTTACTTGAGTAGAAGATGAAAACTAAAACATACAGTCCTCATCCTAATCCTTTCTAAATGCAGGATGATATTTTTTGTTTGTTTTAAAATATTTTATTTATTTATTTTTAGAGAAAAGGGGAGGGAGGGAGAAAGGGAAACAGTGGTGTGAGAGAGAAATATCGATCAGCTGCCTCTCATGCCCTGAGACACACATGCCCCGACCTGGGACCAAACCTGCAACCCAGGCATGTGCCCTGACCTGGAATCGAACTGAGGACCTTTCGCTTTGTGGAATGATGCCCAATGAACTGAGCCACACTGGTCAAGGCAGGACGTTTGTAATGTGATAATACAATATTCTAGTGCGGCCAAATAATACTTTTCAGTGGTTTGCTTTGTAGTTCATCATGTTCTTTTGCATTTATCATCTTACTGATTCTTTACCACAATAGATATTATTGTTCTCAATCCTCACTGGAGTTCTTTCTTTCTCCCAAATTTGTCAAACTTGTTCTTACCTCAGGGCCTTTGCCTGGGCCATTCCCCTGCCTACCCCTCTAGTGACACAGGCTCTGTCTTATCAGCCAGATATCTTCTGAGCTGATCAATTCACCCTGTTTTTCCCTCAAAGAGTTTATCACCATCTGGAATTATCATATTAACTTGTTTGCATAGGTTTGTTCTTGGCCTCTTCTGCATTAGCTCCATGAAGTCAGGCCATTTTTCTATCTTGTTAACTGCTCTATCCTCAATGCTTAGCACATGTAGTAAATGCTCAATAAATATGTATTAAATGAATGAATGAATGAATGGCAATGTACAAGGCTTTACCACGACACTACAGCTGTCCCACTAAGACTCAGTAAACTGAGAAATATGTGGGCCCATGCATGTCCTATATATACATACATACACACACACGCATATGTATATATATGTGTGGGATTTTTTTCTTCAGATAACTAATGATATTCTAGGAGAAGCTCTTTTCATCAAACTCTTTTTACCTTTACTAATGGAGCAGATCAACTATTTTAAAAACTGTATAAAACACGGTAGGATTTCTTCTGAAGGAAACAACATGCTTTGGACTCAATGAAAAATACAAAATGGATCTCTGATGAACTCGACAGCATTATTGTAGCAAGAGAAAAGCAATCATTGTTCTTGTTGCTGGGGAGCTGCCAAGTTGGAAACACTGGTAGGTGCTCTCAGGCTGCAGGGCAGGGCCTGCTGGGTGATAAACACACCAGCATTCTCTGGAAAATACTGTGTTTGGGCTCTGAAACCCAGGGTGACTGGCCTGGGAACAGGGCTTGCTCTTGTCCTGTGCATTCCCTTTTTCCTGACCTCCCTCTCCCTGCAGGCACCGTCCCTTCACCTTTTGTCTGTTTTGTTTCCTTTACTGACGCATGATTTGAGGCTATTAGGTACTTTGAAGCTGATTTTCATGGTTAAATATTTCCTTTCCATTTTCACTTTTCCCTTAAGATTTACAAAGGTTTGGCTCTAACTATGTGGTTCCTTAGATAACATACTGAGATGAAGGCATTCCGTAACTTAGCAAAAGCATGAATTGTTGCCTTTTAAGAAAAGAAAAACATGGGCTTTGATTAGTATTAAGCATCTGTGGTTAATCTGACAGGAGGGTGGTCAGTCTTATCAATGTCAAATCAGTGTAGGAAAATCAAGGAAAAAAAGAAACCCCCAGCTTTTTCCTGTCCCAGCCCTTATCAAATAGACAAGGTGGGAGACTAAGAATGATAGCTAGAAAGGTGCAGGAGAGAAAACTGTTTTTGCTATAAATCTTTGGTGTAGCATGCTGGTTTCTGCCATGATGACTCCATATAAAGCACATAACCTCTTGGAACTTCAAATCTCCCAGCTACAAAATTAGGGCACAGGTAAGCAGACCCTTTTTGTTCCTACACATGCTGCTGGCCTTTTTTTTTTTTTTTTTTGGCAGAAGACACACTGCTCAGCGCACGACTCTCGGGAATTTTTAAGAAGGTGAGGAGTCTGGACTCCAAGTTGCCCATTAGTTCTAGCAAATACATTCCATTTCCCTTGCAGGAAATTGGGGGGTGAGAACTCTGCCAAAAGAGCATCTCTTCCAGGAGGCAGGTGAGCACAGCCCGGTCAGTGGGCTGTCAGGTCTGATCCTGCAAGGCAAGCTTTTCAGGATAATGTGACATTTCCTAGGGCTTTGCCTCCTTCCTTTCTTAGAGTCTGGATGGCATCCTGGTTCAGGGACACAGCAAAAGAATATCCTGCTTGTAGGTGGAGCCTTCCCAAATTACAAGTGACTAAGGAAAAAAAATTATCGGACACTAGCCCCTGTGCTGCTCTCCGTTCTTGAAAGGCAGTGTAAAATTCGGTCACATGCTCCGGTAACTCCTGTCCTTTTTTATGCTTGCACATTCCTGGTGATTTAAAATTTGCTGTGTGAATCTACTTCCTTATTATTAGACAAGCTTTAGCCATATCAGCTCTCCTATTTTCAATGTCATGTTCTTCAGTACATGCAGCATAAGCATCCTTTTTGCAAATGTGCTAGTCAGACAGTGCTGTTCCTCCCTTCCCCAACGTTTCCTTCTCTCTTTCTCCTAAATATCCTAAATTAAAGTGTTGATGTTAGAAAGACCCTGTACAGGCACGTCAGATTCCCCCAAACACCCGCAAGGGTAGTATTCCTAAGAAGATGATTACTACTCTACAACGAGATATCAGGAAACAAAGTGAAATGAGTTTAAAATTGGCGGGACTCAGTAAAAAGGTGATTATAAAGGTAGCACTAAATTACATATCTTCATGCTGCTCTTTTTTATGTTGTCTTCCTATTGAGAAAATGACTTCCCTCTTGGTTTTTAACCCATAGGCTTTTTCCATAGTCCGTTAGACATAGAAACGGTGGGGCCAGAGAGAGTCCCTTGAGAGCCAAAGTCTCACATCCTTCCTTAGGGGAGGCCAGACAGAGGGGCTGTCATTCCCTTCTCCATGGCTCATGGTCAGACAGATGGCCTAGACCTCTCCCTCTGGTCGTGTTCTCAAAAGGAATGCCTAGGAGCACACTTTTCTTTGACTCACACTATAAAACCTCCGGCTCTGCTAGCAGTACCTCACCCCAAATTTTGGTGCACGCTTATACTTTCTAACTACTCAGATCTTTGTAATCATTGCTACTATGTCACCTTAAGATAAACCCCTTTTCTCTACCTTTTCTGATTATTCCTCTAGCATGTTCTTTTGCCTACCTGCCCCAGGGAAGGGTGTCAGAGGCCATTTAGATTTTTTTTTTTAAAGATTTTATTTACTTATTTTTTTTAGAGAGAGAAAAGAAGAGAGGGGAAAACATCAATGTGTGGTTGCCTCTTGCATGCCCCCTACTGGGGACCTGGCCTGAAACCCAGGCATACACCCTGACTGGGAATTGAACCGACGACTCTTTTGTGCGTAGGCCGGCACTCAGTTCACTGAGCCACACCAGCCAGGACACATTTAGATTTTTGACTCAAGTCTTGTCAAACTGTTCAGCATCTGCAGAAGCTGGTAGTAGTCCAACTTTTTGGCCCATTCCTATGGCTAAATTGATCTCCTGTCCACTTTAGGACTGGTTCATTTTTACTAAAAAGACAGAACTGCTACAGGATTTGGCTTCAGCTACTTTTTTCCTCTCACTGCATAAGTTTGTTCTTGTGAATTTTTGCTCATGCATTACTCTGACCTTTCTCATGCCATGGTGTTTTTCTTCCATAAGAATGTTTTCACTTGCTTCTCTTCCTGTTTCCACTTTGTGTACGTTTTTTTCAGAGCTCCTTTGTCAAATAAATTATCTCAACCTTAGAAGTAGCCACATGATCACATTTCCTCATTTTTCAATTCTAAAAATAGTGTTTCCTACTTTGATTTACTTTGCTTTTTAAACTTTGAGTTTTATTTATATGTGCACATTCTTTAGGAATGTGGTATGACTTTCTGAGTTGCAAATGACAGAAATGCAACTCAACGTTGCTTAAACAAGCACCGGAGTTTAATGAGTCACAGAATTAAGATGTTCAAGGATAGGGGCTCCAAATAAAGCTGGATCGAAAGTTCAAACAATATATTCAGACCTCTTTCTTGCTGGATCATCTCTCTGTTTGCTCAGGTCTAAGAGTGGGTCCTGGCAATAGATCTTTCAGTGCTAAAACCAGGAATGTCCCAGGCAAACCGGGACAAGTTAGTCACCCTCTTTCTCTGCTCCTGTCCCTGTAGGTCTCACTGTGGCAGGTCCTCCCCACATGGTGTCAGAGATGGCCAGAAGTAGCTCTAGGTCTTTGGTTCTGACAGCTGGCACTTCTAGGGGGAAAGAAAGTCTTTTGCTTGATAGTTCCAGCAACAGCTCAGGGGAATCCTCAGATTGGTTCTGCTTGGTCCAAATCCCTATCCCTGAATAAATCAGAGAGATGAGGAATGCTGGCCAGCCTTTCTTGGACTGCTCTCTCATGCCAGAGCTAGAGGTTAGGGGCAGGCTCCAGTGGAGGACAGTCACTTACCATAATGCTCAGCAGATGGAAGCGCAGGCCACTGCAGGATGGTTCCTTGTCCTATGGGCAGGGTTGTTTTGACCACCTGCACATATCAGAAGGGCAAGATTTAATGCAGTGATCAACCTTTTTCATCTCATGACACACACAGAGTAATTACTGAAATTCTGCGACACACCAAAAAATATATTATTATTTTTTTTCCTGATCTGACAAAAAATAGATGTCATTTTGATTCATTCACTCTGATGGCTATTGTGTTGGCTATTATCACTTTCTTTATTTGACAGTCTAAGGGAAAAGAGGTCAGTGACCCTGACCAAATAATCAGGTATTGCATGTTTTAAAAAGTATTGTGGCATATTGGTTGAAAATTGCTGATTTAATAAAATCTGTAAGCATTTGAGCTATTTAACTT